TCTCTCTCTCTCTCTCTCTCTCTCTGTCTCCTCGTTTATAGACCATGTATGGCGCGAACTGAGAAGTTGCGATTTGTCCCCTTTTCTTTTTGTTCTTTCGCTGTTTTTCCTCCTTCTTCTCTTCCATTTTGAACGGAGAACAGTTCATCGGTTACGTATAAATAACAGTTTTACGAAACTCTTAACAATACAGTCGTAAAATATACGCGGGAGGGACTTCACTTTCGCGGGAATACCTGCAGACGTTGGCCATCCGGGAAAGGGGGTGGGGTTGAGAGGGGACAGGATGTACCTATATATTTATATAGTATATGTAATAAACATCAAATTATCCGCTAAATGGTAGTTGAGCGTCGATGGTAGGTTCGGCATTCGTATTTATTTGAGATACCCTGCAACGGGACTATACTGTGCCCAGCGTCAACACACACTTTCCATTTTTTTTGTTTCTTCTTTCTTCCCTTTAAAGCACATAATCAACACGTGGTGTCTAATGAAAATAGAGGCGTAATATGCTCCGATCGTTCTCGTACGACTCGATACTGATATGATTTTCTCTTCCTATTGCCATATCTCGTCTAACATAGGCAGGGTGGGTGGGGGGGAGAATGGGAGGGAAACGGTGTTTCACTTGGCGTCTTTCGACATTAGCACGGAGTCGGTGGCGGCAGGTGTGTTCTTCGGGACGTCTGAGTCCTGTTGCTCGGCCGGCGGCGGCTTCTCGCCCGCTGCCGCGTCCTTCGCGTCTTCCGCCGTCGTGGCCTTGGCCTCCTCCGCGCCCTTGACGTCGCTAGAACGAACAAGGCGAACTTTTTACGAATTACACCAGCCTCGACGCAGGTAGACATTATAAATACCTGCTGGTAGCCGGCGGTTTGCTGGGATTAGCGTTTTTGTCAGCGAGGATCGTCTTGTTCTCGTCGCTCTTACTGTTGAGGTTGGTTTCCGTATTGGACGGCATACCTGATCCAGTCACTTCAGTGTTCGCCGAGTCTTTGCTCTCCTTCTCGTTGTCGTCCTCGACGTTCTCGCTAGTCGTCGTGTCCTTCTCCTTCGAGTCCGCGATCGTTTCCGACACTTTCTCTTTAAGTTCATCGTCGCGCGGCTTCTTATCCTCGCTCGCAGTATTCTCTATATTTAAGGAATTTTCGAAATTATCGAAATTGGCCCAGCCGGTAGACTCCACCGGCTCCGACGGAACCACGTCCCACGGATTAACCGGGGGAAGCGCGGTACTAGAAGTCAACGGCTCGGTAGTGTCCCAAGCTGTAATTTGAAAAGAAGCTAAAGTAATTCTACGACCTGAAACGATTTGCATATAACTGGATGACGATAATTTAGTTCAGATTAATATAGCTTATTTAGAAATAAAATAATTAAACGACTCTTCAATTTTCAGTTATGCTTCTGTAGTTCATTTAAATAAAATTACTCATTTTTTGCAGTTTTATTACATGGCTCTACTTGCGGTCGTAAAATATTGCACTAGACGGAATTTCCCTTTCTCGTGAAATGAAATATATAACAATAATAAAATAATAATATGTAGAAAAAAAGAAAACGTACGATCAGTCGTGTCGACTTCCATGTGCATATCGCGCGCGTCCTCGTCGTCCTCGTCCGATGAACTGGAATCTTGATGCTGTTGCTTCGAATGCCAATCCCGTTTATCCACTACGGTTTGGAACGTCAGCTCGCCCTCGTCACCCCACTCCACTCCACCGCCGCAATCCTCGAGGCCGGCTTTCTGCTTTTGTTGGCACAGCTTTAACAATGTCGTCAAATAGACTCTATCAATTTTCGAGCAACGCGAATACACAAATACGATTCTCTTCAGCAATGAGATCGAAGGAATATCTACCTTATTGAACATATCTTCTCGCTTGTCGAGATCTTCTTCACTGAGAGTAAAGGCCAACGTTGTTAATTGGTCAACTGGATTACTATAATATCATTCTTCTTAACGAAAACAGTAGGGGAGGAACGACAATGGCGATACTATATCGCAATTTTTTTTCTTAAAGCGTGCATATGACCGATTCTCTATATGGTAGGCTGCATGATCGCGCTTAGGATAACTCAGTGACGATGCTGTTTACCCAAACTACTCGACATACGTGATTATCGCATTGTACTTACTGAAGCGCGTCGTCGCCGTCGTTGAACTCATCGTCGTGGAACCCAAAATTCTCGATGAAAGGTGGTGTTATTTGCTGGCCCTGATAGTTGGTGTACATCTATTGCCAAGAATATCACCACCAAGAGTAAGAAGTAAGTCGCAAAATATGACACAAATTTATCGTAGCGTACCTGTTGGATGTACGCCTCTTGCGAATAAGAATTGTACTCGTCCGGATTCTCCTCGGAGCTCATCAGGTACACTTGATTCTGATCACCCTGGAAATTCTATTATTATTCCAATCACGCGTTACTTGGTTTGTAGTATCGATGAAATGTGTAAATGAAACGTTTCATAATGTATGATAACAATAACTGCAGAATATATTGTTGTACGTACCATCATTACAGTTTGATGAATTTTATTGATTTCCACCAACTGTGTACTCACAAGTTTCTCCCACTTACTAAGACACTCGGGTGACAAATTGTTCTTCAAGAAACTGTCCAATATATTACTCTTCTCGCATTGAGTGACGATGTCGTTCGCGATATTTATCAGATGTCCCATGTACCCCTGCCGAACGCCATTTTCTTTGTTCCTGCAACGTGAATTCTCGCGTTACAAATTGCACGGTTTAGAAATTGTACGGTGATCTTACTGTTTACTCTCGTTCTTATCCCAGGCTTCTAAAATTCTGTCTATTAATTTGCACTTGATAAATATCTGAAAATTAATAAATAAAGTAATTTCATCATCTTTCAATATAATGGTAGTTTCTCATCAAAAGAAAAATGCACAACTTACATTACTATAAATAATATCATTAGTATCCCGATGTCCGCAATTAATAGCTAAGGCCAGGCACTGTTGTACTTGTGTGTGTAAAAAATTATTCCACGTATATTTGAAAAACAGATCCTGCAAAGTTTAAAGTGTATACTCGGGTAAAGTAACATACAAGAATCGTAATGAGCGTTGAACTTGAAGATTCCATGCTGTGGCCTTACCAACAATGTTTGGAATGTTCCCAAATTCGCTAAACTTTCATGGATCTTTAAATTCTCCGTCGATAATAATGCCATTAACAATTTTGCTACATGTAAACGAGTATTTCCCAATGGACATTCTAAAAGTCCGACGGTTGTCTTCACTGCAGGTTTCTGGATGACAGAAGATTTAACATTTCTTAAAATAGCAGGAAATACACAGTTACGTCGAGAGAGTAGTGCTACATCGATACAAAATAGGAAAAATGCTTGTGAAAAAAAATTGCGAAACGTCTCTTACGTATGGTGGATCTAGAAGAAGTTTGTGAAGATGCTCCAGATATGGTATGGTTGCGTCCGAAATTTTAATACGTTGCTCGTTATCCGCGACATCTTCGCTGTTACCGTGAACATCTCCCTCGTTCAACACACTAGAAAAAAAGAAACAAAAAAGACCGTTAATACACCGTACTTCATCTACCTCATAGACTTTCAACATTATTGAATATATTCACGTCGTACTTGTTAGCTTTTTGTCCTAGAAGTACCAAAAGCACCTGTATTCCACCGACGATACTACTTTCTAGTTTTTCTCCAGTTAAGATAGTCTCTAATAATAGGCTCACAGTTTCTCCTCTGTGGAAAAGAGACACACGTCATTGGAACTGATTGCTCGCCAGATAAGATGACTCAACTCTACAATTGCTTGGTAATTCTTGGTAATACTTACGATTCTAGAGTATTCAAAATAGGATCTGGATCGGCGCGTTCTGTGGATGTACGTTGAGTCTCCCTCGCCACCGTCACCATATCACAAAGTAATTGCGCCGCGTTAGCGTGTTTGGTTGGCTCTGAAGTGGGTGCTAACAGCTTTACCAGTCTCTGCACTAAATGTTGACTATCTAACCACTATTAAAGAAGTATACATATATATAGAAAAAGAGATACAGCTGCACAACACGTTTCAGTATGATAGACACATTTCTGAGGAGTGAAATCTTACGTTCAATATGTTTTGACGCATATCACTGCCTTCCACCTGAGTAACAAGTTTTAGCACTAAGTCCATAATAGCAGAAGTCTCTAAGTGCCGTAACAGTAGATCTACACATTTCTGACGACTCTTAAGAAACTCTAAAACCTGTAAGCATGTGAACTGATAGGAATACCAATTCTGGAGTGGATGGAAGTATGTAGGATGGACAGATGTGCGAGTGACACAGGAAAGGTAAGAGGAAAAAGACAATTTATTATTTGACTAGTATTATTTTACTAATAATTATACTTTAATATATAATAATAAGCTTTATTAATCACTAAGTGATATTGATTTTAAAGGAAGTTATCATGATTGAATAATTAATCAGCTAATAAAGCATACATCATGGTATAAATATTGCTAATTATTACATATTAGTATATGTGAAAGTAAAGCTTATGCATAATTACCTGGTCACTTTTACGAGCAACAAGTACTCCAAGAGTTTTACTGAAAAATGATGCAAGTAGTGGATTTAATGGCTGATCAGTATCTATGAAAGAATATAATTTGGCCAAAAGTGCCTCATCACCTGAAAGAGTTTTGAAGATATGATATAATTGCGGGATCATTTGCAGAATTGGACAACTATTTGATTGTTAACTGTGTAATAAAATTGCTCCCTAAATACCTGCCAGTTTCTCATTCAGTGTAGGTACATCGCATGTGAGCAACTCGCAGGCAACATTAGGATATTTATAACGCCAACGTTCTTCGATGTCTATGGATGGTTCTTTAGTAGTTAATGTCACTAACTCTTCCATGACAGCTGGCCTCGTGAGACTACCAATTGCATGTTGTGTTATTTTATATATATGCATGAGTATGCATAATTATTATTACATTAATTATTAGTGAAAAAAGTGCCTGTATATCCAAATATCTCAACACAAAGAGACTCAAATAAACAGCAGCACCATTACTTACTACTCGACCAGCTTTTTGTTCTGACTCTTGCATTCCTGCAGGATATCCTCCTCGTCCATCAACTCGTGCAGAGTAACATCCTGCAAGCACGAGTTAACAAATTAACTATGAGACGCTCCGCCACGACGATAAGCTGAGAGAGCGCGGCGGGGGAGTGTACAATCGTTCGAGGAAACGCTCGGGAAAGTCACTTGCCTCCTTGCTGAGCAATGCCTCGATATGCGGCGATGACACGTAATTATTCGTCCAGAACATGATGATGCGTGGACGTGCCTGCTGCTGCTACTGCGGCGGCGGCGACGATGGTTTATTCGATTACCGTGACGATTTACCGAAACACGGAGCGAAGATCGCACTCACATCGGAGTGGCGCGTAGACGCGCCGGGAAAATAATGTAACACGTCGCGTGAGCTTGCTCGATTGTGCGGCGGCTAACATCGCATGTACGCGTATACACGAATTCCTGTGTAGAGATTGGACAGTCGTCCACCACACATACGAACAAACCAGTTAGTTAAAAAATCGCCGCTAGTGGCGCAGAGTCGAGTGCTACGGTATACATCTAGATCGGATCTGAGTAGTTAGCACGACTACTTTTCCAAGTGAGTTTATATTTATAGTGGAATGTCGTATCGTCCGTTTATATTTATTCAAATCTTTGTTCGTATCTGCGCTGGACGACTCTCCAATCGCTACACCTTTTCGGCTCTTTTCGCTGTGTCGCGGCCGTATCGCGACACACCGTCGTTATCTCCACTGTGTCGTCACCACTGTGACCGCGAACCACCTCCGGAGCAATCACCTTTGTGCGAACCACCACTTCCTCTCTCGCGATCTCGTTCACAACTCGACACGTTGAAATTGCTGGAAAGCAGCGAGCTAACGATTCCCCGCGATCTGAACACTACGCCCTGAAACCACACGAATTATCTCGAAACGTGAAGTTGCCACGAAATGAGCGCGGCCCCACAGACGCTCTCAGGCGCGAATGGACGCGCAAGCGCGGAAACTCGTCCCTCCTCCAGGCCTTTCTTTCCGAGTTGTGTTCGGAAACGTCATCCGGGTGCACCCGCTGCGTTAGAATGAGAGAGATACGAGAAAGGGCGACAGTTTCCCGAAAAATGGAGGGGATAATATTGGTACCAAGGAAAATCTCTACATGATATAATTTAAAGATCTGGGCCCCTATTCTTGAAATTTTTGCGTATACGTAATTTTCATTGC